ACATTTCTATTTATATATTTTGTAGTGCTTCTGTAGCATATTTGTTATATAGTAAGCCTGTGTTAACCACTTGGTGAATTTATATTCCCCAACATTCCATGAGTTCATGAATGAGGCTGTTTGGCACTTTTTTGTTTCACTGTATTTTCCTGTTCTCTCATTGCTATACATGTTGTATAATAGATTGTTTAAATGCGTAATACACTATTAATTCAAATAAAAAAAGGAAAACAAAGAAAAAAAAACATTGTTTTGCTTATAATAATTTCTACATAGTTAGGGAAAATAAATAAAAATACCCTTAAAAATATATTCATTTATTAACGTTGATTGATTGCTAGAACATTTAGATTTTTAGGTATTTCTTTACATTATAAGTCAAATATTGTAAATTACTGTTTTATACATCTTAGAAATGTTATACGTCTGATAATTAGATTATTGGTGGTCACCATATTCATAAATGCCACAAATAAGTATTCTGATGTGATTATTAAAGGAGTCTATATTTCCCCTAGATTTCTAGAGAAGCATATGACATTTAACACCAGTGGGAGTATGTGTGGTTTGCAAAATAAAATGTTTAGAGATGGGCCCCTGTGTCAGTAAGAGCTCAGACAATCTAGGATTTCATTTGCAGGGAATTTAGTGATATTGCTGTTGTCTCTTCAGTGAATTTTCAATAAATTGCCTTAATTTACTTTAAAACCAAGACTGTGCATGTTTTATACCCTAGGGGACAGTGCCAATTCAATACAGGATCACAGTATATACATATAGAAATTTGACACCACATGGTATTAATCTAAAATTTACATATTTCTTACCCACCAACCACTGCCAAAATGTCTGGTTACTGATTATATTTGTTTTCTCACATATTTTTCATTTTCATGCTGAATTTCACAATCTCTATGTATCAAAGCACTGTAAAAATCTCAGATTAGTATTTTATTACTGCCTCCATGTTGTGCCTCATCATTAAATTCATGAAGCGCCAATATCAAGAAGCAATAATCAATTACCCTAAGTTTTTTAAAGATATTGGTGGGCGCCAAAACCCTATTTAGGATGAGTGAATTGAGTATTTGAGAAAGGGAAAGACACTGACACCAAGTATTTGTAAATAATCAATACAAACTTTATTGATTAAAATCAATAACCATAGTGATAACAAAAATAAAAACAGGCTCCTGACGACGGCGTTTTGAACACGCGTCAAGCGTTTTCTTTTTCTTTAATCTCTGCACTTGGTAGCACTTTTTAATTTTTTTACCACTATGGTTATTGATTTTTAGGTGTTTATTTATTTATAACTTTAGTAGGGAGAGTTGATTCAGGTAGACACTAGTGGTTAGACCATGGTGTCGAGGTAACTTTTAGGGTGAACTGAGAGATTTATTTAATTATTTATTTTTTGTGTGAGGCTTTTCATCTGCGTTTAGACCTGATTACCCGGTCCCTTGTTCTCTGGGGACCCTGTGCCTCTTCTCTCTCCCTAACCTCCTTTACACTACCTTCCTGTCAGTCGGACTCTAGGGGAACTGGAACATAGATACTAGCTAGTACTCCAGACAATTGATCCCCTGGGCACCGTTTAGTATATCTCCCTTTTTTCAAGCTATACTTTTTGTTTGCATATCCCTTTTTATCCTAAGATTGATTAAAGGTAGGGCCTCCCTTCCTCATTTCTTATACAGTGGAGCTCTCCTGATGTTGGTTTCCCCTTGTGGGACTCTACACATCACCTACTCCTATTACTTAATTAATAAGTAATCATTCAGCTTAAGGAAACAGCTTAATTATCTAGATATTCAGCTTAAGTTATATATCACCATTAGAGAAGCCTGCTGCACTCGACTGAGAGAACTTTCTGGCAGTCATGCTTGAAGGGACCCTCTCTTTCTGGGAATCAGCAGAACCAGCAATACGCATCCGTATTACAGGTGGGTAGTACTCCAAGCGAGTGCCCAGTTTTCTCGTCTTTTATACCTTTACCAATGGGATGGATAGTCTGTACTTTTCCACCAAGTCTCCTTATCAGTGCAGCCCAGCAAAGATCTTGAAAAAGCATTGGATGGGACCGGCAGTTGGCCAGGCTCTTTAGGCCCACCAACAATGCCATGCCAGGTCTGTGCAGTTAATTATCTGTTATCTAAAATCTAGCTTTGTACTAATAATTATCTCGTGATGGTATGCATGAGTCATTCTGGTGCTGTGTTTTGTGGTTTTATTAACATTTTCAGTGCTGTGTATTAATAGCTGTGGCATCCAGGCCTGAATCTAGTGATACTGCCTGTGTGTGCTTATGTGCTTACCAGTGCCATCTTAACTATCTATAAGAGTTTAATTTGCTCAATAATGATCAATAAATCATTTTTAATTAACATAGAATATTATTATCAGAATCCAATTACAGTAATGCCCCATGTAGATCTTCATAAGATTTTCAAGTTGAAATTACATGCCCATTTTTATGTTCAAACTTGTAATTTAGACAGATTGATTTAATGGGCTAATTCATTTTATGACAAAATGGCAGCCCTAACTGCATATTACCCATATGCTAGCATACAATTTGCAATAGAAGACAACCTGGACAATAGCATGTGTTTATTTAATTCACAAACGTATTTAGTTTCAAGGGTGAATTTCACAGTCCTTGCATGTCTTACCACTTCAGAGATCTCATATTAATGTTTTCTTGCAGATCCCAAATACAGGAAATGCAAGTTACTTAGAGCATTGCAATGGTAACCCAAGGCACTGACTCATTGACAAGTCCCAGGAGAGCTCCCTAGCATATGTACAGAATCTTTTGCACTCCATGCACTGGAGAACTAAGGAGGACCAGCTGGCTCATTTGACCCATTTTGGTTGGCAACATTTAGTTTAAGTTTTATTTAATCTATTGTAGTTAATCTAGCCAGTCTCTCCTTACTAGCTCTGTGTGTTAAAAACACCTTTTTACTTTCTAGTTTGCAATGTTTAAGCATATAAAGGGTTAATCCCCAGTTAATAGCTGTTTCTTTCTCAGCTTAATTTTTTCTTTGTTTCTAAATTGCTAACCTAGTATACACTCGTTCCAATAACACAATGGCAACCTCCTTTTCTTTTTTTCTTTTTTAGAATTGTACGGAACACAAAGTTTTAGTTCATTTAATTTCCCTTTTGACTTAAATGTTATGACTTATGCTGACCACTACTTATCAACTATACACCTTATCTTTAACATTACTTTTTTGTTGCCTTAATTAATTGTGGTTAGTATTTAATGACAAATTATAACTCCTAAAGGAATCCTCCTACCCTGAAGATAAGGGAGAAACATTTCCTTACAAATGCTGCTAAGAATCACGTGCCATTATTGTTTATTAAATAGTGACACAAGCCAAGTGAGTTGATCACATGTACCAGAGACAATGGAGGGATTTTATCAAATTCATGCCAAGACTTTTAAGTATTGCTTTTGATAATGTTGTGCCGGATTTGAACATATGAACTATTTGGTGATAAAAACGGATATGTGAATTTTCTTGCCACTCTTTTGACAGACCAATGAAATAATTGTTCCCACCACTGTAAATTTGGTCATCATAGAAATAATGATTTTTGTGAAAACCAGTAACATTTCTTATAGAAAATGTACTTTTAAATCACTTTAATAAATATGATTAAAATAATAACCATTGCTTTTCACAACACTTTGAAAACTATCCCACAATGTGTTGTTGATGCAAGTCTGTTGCATGTCCCCTATATATAGCTCTACTATATTGTTTAACTTCTTAAGAACAGAGGCAATTGTACCAGTTCTTACCAAAATAATAACAAAGCAAAACCAGAATTTGAGATATATGTCTGTTCAACCATAATTTACCTCTTTCAGATTAAGTGCACCAACACTTATTATACATCATTTTCAGGGCATTTTTCAGGGGAAAGAGGGCTTTAAATGCACATAAAATATTTATACATAGGGGAGCAGAGTCAGTGCCCAATCAAGTAAGATGCACATGGCAGCAACTCCGTGCTTTTGCCCTAAACTACCTGGCATCACTCTGGAACCAGCATATGCACTGGGACTTGGACGTATATAAAAAAAATAAAATAAAACAAACAAACAAAAAAAACAAGTAAAATTAGTATTATGCATGTAGCAGGCATTAAGCCATTTTTGTGATATATTTAACAACACTCTTTTATTTCTGAAATAAGTGAAATAAGTATTTGATCCCCTATCAATCAGAAAGATTTCTGCTTCCAGGTGTCTTTTATACAGATAACAAGCTGAGATTAGGAGCACTCTCTTAAAGGAAGAAGCAATCAATCAGATTCCAAACTCTCCACGATGGCCAAGACCAAAGAGCTGTCCAATGATGTCAGGGAGAAGATTGTAGAGATACACAAGGCTGGATACACAAGACCATCACCAAGCAACTTGGTGAGAAGGTGACAACAGTTGGTGCAATTATTTGCAAATGGAAGAAACACAAAAAAACTGACAGTCTCCCTTGGTCTGGTGCTCCATGCAAGATCTCACCTTGTGGAGTTTCAATGATCATGAGAACGGTGAGGAATCAACCCAGAACTATACAGGAGGATCTTGTTAATGATCTCAGGATAGATAACCTAAGGTATTCAAATGGGTTATGTCAAGTCTTTTTTAGTAGTAATTTAATTATAAACCCTGTACAAAGTTAGTTTTCAGATTTATTTATTTATTTACCAAAAAAATGCATTTTCACTGATAATATCATCATCATTCTACAGTTCATTGCATTGACACACTTATATTTGTGTTAAGTAATGTCTCACAAGTACAACAGTATCCCAATGCACAGGTTTTAAGAGGTTTTGGAAAGTTATAGGGTCAAATATAGGCCTCTATTTCAGTAGAGATGTCGCGAACCGTTCGCGAACTTCCCGCGAACGGCTCGCCACGGTTCACCACGAACCGTTCGCGGCGAGCTCCTTTCAGCTGACACATCCCGGCCAATCTCCAGCAGACCCTCCCTCCCAGACCCTCCCACCTCCTGGACAGCATCCATGTTGAAGGTGGGAGGGTCTGGGAGGGAGGGTCTGCTGGAGATTGGCCGGGAAGTGTCAGCTGACCGGAGCTCGCTGCGAACGGTTCGTGGTGAACCGTGGCGAGCCGTTCGCGGGAAGTTCGCGAACGGTTCGCGACATCACTATATTTCAGTGTTCATACCTGTAAATTTGAGAAAGTGATTTTCTGGACCTATGTTTCCTTTGAGAGAATATGGCAGCTAGGGTAATAATATTTCCACTATAATGACATACCATTTTCAAAATGACTATTTCTCTGCCTCCCTCGCTACAGATAAAAGTGAGGAGAAGAGAGGGGAAGAGACAATATCTTAGCCAATGTTACAAATCATTGGCTGAGACATTGTAACCATGATTGTGGTGATCAGCTGTTACAACAAGAGGCATGCCTGCATTGCCAGGCGGGACCCTGAGTGTGTTCTGCCGCATGGGTGGGTAGTTGGGCTGAAGGGATGGGTAAAACACCAGTACGTGCTATTCAGGCCTAACGGCACTTAAGCCTGACTACTTAATGGTGTGAATGGGTTAATAAAAATGTCTTGTTTCACATATTACCTGGTTAGTACATCAATAAACCATTTCCCACACATATGTATATCTTAATAATAAATTAATAATAAGCTTACAGTCTATAGTAGGTGGGCTGTAAAACACAATAGAACAGGAAATAGCAATCAAATAAGGTGGGAGAAATATTTGAAATGAGACATGTTCTGCTATAAGGTAGCAAAGTCACTGAGTAGTTTTATTTTTCTCAAAAGATAGCTTGAGTATTAGTAGTCAGGTAATACAGAGCGCTGTTACTATTAAGCTAAAGGAAGAAATTACATGAAGAGAGGTTGTTTATTGAAGATGGGAAATATATATGAACAACAAAATAAAAACCAACAAGAACACAAAAAAGATCGTGCATCTGTATTGTGGATATGTTTGAGTGTGTTTACATGAATGTAAAACATTTTAATATAGTTTCTTTACAAGTCAAAAACATATTTGAATTACTATTATAACAATAATTCTTGCAAAAGCAATTTAAACATTGCTGGCATGATGTCCTTGACTTGAATGACAGAAAAGCAGATTTTACCACAATGAATATGGTGAAATAAAAGTCTACAAAACATTTTTTTTTAACTATTTTACTTGAACTAAAACATAAATACTTATAAAAATAAGCATACTAAAAGTTTATTTTCATTGGGAGCGTGGCCTGGACGAGCATGGTGCAGGACGCACGGTAAATGAGCTCCGCACCCCAGGCCGAGAAAGCTAGCAATATACAGCCCATACACGGAGGAAAATGGCCCAGAACAAGAAACAATGGATGATTTAGTCACAACGCTGGCGGAGCTGAGAGGCTCCCTCCAAAATGGCGCCGGCCTCTCCGGGCTCGGAGAGCACAGAAGACTCCCTATCAGGAGGTGACTATGCGGGGGCCCTTTCTCAAATAAGAACAGAGCTCACACAGATATCCCAATGAATGCTATCTAAAGCAGACAAGGGCACTCTGGATCAGGAGCTGTGCGCGGCCTTCAGAGAAGAAATGGAGGGCCTGCGCTCCGACCTGACCATGCTGGAGCAGAGGGTGGAGGAGGTGGAGGTGGCGGCCCAAGACAGTGAGCAGCAGCACAGGGCGACAGAGGTAGCTGTGACAGGACAGGGCAACATGCTGATTACCCTCCGCAGGCAAGTGGAGGATTTAGAAAATAGAAGCCGACGTAACAATATTCGCATACGAGGCCTGCCTGAAGGGGACACAGACCCCATACAGACCACGCTGGCTGAATTATTTAAGCAGATTTTAGGAGCAGAAGCTCCAGAGGGCATCAGGCTTGAATGCACGCACAGAGCACTGGGACCGCCGAGACAAGACGGCAGCCCCAGGGATGTGATTTGCTGTTTCCACCTCTTCAGCCTAAGGGAATAAATCATGGGCGCCGCAAGAGGAACACCCTCCATCCTGTTCCGTGGCACAGAGGTGATTCTATTTCAGGACCTCTCTAGCTTGACACTCGATGCCAGATGAGCATTACGCCCTGTAACCAGCGCCCTAAGAGAGCGGAGGATCCCATACCACTGGGGGTTTCCGTTCAGCATGCAAGCTAAGCACGGTAACCCATGGGTGACAGCGCACTGGCCTGAAGAGATACCCGGGCTCCTGAGAACCCTCAACCTACCGTCAATCCAGGTCTGGAATTGGATCCTAGAAGAGGCGATTGCTACGAGAAGGGACCCCTTGGCCCCACTGCAAGGCACTGACACCCCAGCCAGAGGGAGTGAAACACCATGCAGGCAAGGAGGGCCAGATGGCCCGGAAGAATAGCTCTGCATAAAGCCACGTTGGACCGAGGGGTGACCGGTGAGTTACCATACACAGGGGACATACGGGATGCACTCTCATACTGGGGACAGCTGGGCACAACGGGCTTAACCAGGACACTTGGGGTGGGAAGAGGGAAAGGGAGCACAAGGACAGGGACTGAGGGAGCAAAGTCTGATGCCAGGGCACTGGCACTCAAAGTCGCAAAGCTCCCCCCACTACATTAACCACAAGCAGTTAACGGCCTCCGAGCCTTATGGTCACAGGCGCATTCAACCGAAGGGAAAACTCAAGGGCCAGGAACACATGATGGTGCCACACTGGGGAGGGATCTCACCGTGCGATGGGGAGGGGAACAGGCAAAAGGTATAGGCACACAGCACAAGACCGGCTTGGGGATGAATGGACAGGCCCACGTCCCTTTAACACACCCGTATAGGTGACATTGAGCCAAACTGTACCTAACTAACCCTTCACAGGCCTACAAGAAATGGCAATTAAGGACAGAGCCGCCAGCATACCACCGGCCGCGATACAGCTGGCTACATCAATATAGGATGACACCACAAGGGGGGGACCTAAGATCTTGGGAGGGGGGAACACAGGACTGGGAGATGGGTACTAACGTGTTAGGGAAGGATGCTAAATTGTGCCTGTATTGAATTGATGTGCAGTGTTCACCAATAACATGGGTACTTGCCTCGACTTCTAGGGAAGCAGAGGAAAGGAGCCAATCACAAACTAGGGGTAAAGCAGGAAACGCAGAAGTCAGGGATAGGGTCTTCACCCAAATCAGAGGGATCATATGAGCCCCATAGACGTATAAGGGGGTATTTATTAGGAGGGGAGAAGGGGAAGGAGGAGGTGCGGGGCGGGCGGCTTAGAGAGGGAGGGGAAGGGAGAAGTAGAAAGGGAAAGAGGGGGAGGAGGAGAAAAAAAAGGGGGGAAAATATATATATATTAATTAACATTAAAAGGTAAGCAAGTAGAACCCTCCCCTGGGGCACCCGATAGTGGCCCAGATGAGAATAGCTGACCACCCCGAAGAGCTCCCGGCCCTCTAGGCCGACGACAGCCGAAACACTAAAACTGACACTACAGACTATTACACAGTACCAGGACTCCCTTTGCCTCCTGTATCACAATAGCCGCCCCGGCCTGGGGGGGGTGGGACATGGAACATAAAGTTATCTTACAAACTCCCAAGATACAGACACACTCTGACTAGGGACCATACAATCCACCTGGGATCTACAAACAGGTGGACCACACAATTTCTCGCCTGGTCCTGTGCAGGTGCGGTCTGGGTCCGGCACCCCCTGACGGATGCCTATACTGAACTGGTGAGGGGGCAGGTGGATAACTACCGCACAACGCCTCTGCCACAGGTATCAAGTCACAGAGGACCCCATAAGTGGGATCCTATTCAAACCCTATATTCAGGGACTTTCAACCCCCCTCTGAGTCCTCCTTACCCGGCCGCCCGCGCGCCCAACCCTCGCTCCTCCAAAACAGAGCGCTCTGAACCTCCTGCCCTCTCCCTGGAAAAACCGCCCTACCTCCCCCCCATTCTTTGGCCGCCATTAATGGGCTCGGGATTCACCCCAGCGCCTCTCCGGCTCTGGTCGAACAATGTACGAAGCCTCAACACGTCTGAGCGGAGGTCTCAGCTGCTGTGCACCCTTTGGGCAGAGAGGGTGTCCATCGCATTCCTGCGAGAAACCCATTTTCGGGGGGACACGAGCCCACCACTGAAAGATTCGAGATACCCCCAGGGATTCTTCGCAAACCACCAGAATGCCATAAGATCTGGGGTCGCAATACTGCTAGCAAACACAGTACCGTTCGAATGCACAGGACAGTTTTCCAACGCCATGGGACGCTTTCTCTTTCTTAAAGGCATCATAGCAGGTAACACATACATGCTAGCAAGCGTATATGCCCCTAACACCCGACAGCATAGCTTCCTCAAGAAAACGCTGAATAAACAGCTGTTAACACTTATAATATGCCTTTTTAGAGTTTAGGTGGGTGGACATTATGAGATAAGTACTAGAAGCCCTGGCCAGTGTCCTTTGTAGTCCAGTCAGTCTCTAACACTTGATAGCAGAGCTACAGGAATAGTTATAGAGGGTGTAAATCACGAGTGCTGTCCCAGCAAATTTAGTGTGTGGCTGGACAGGAAGTGGAAAGGATCACTTCCAATTTGCCCACTACTTCTCACACAGCAAGTGCCTTGCAGAAGGACCCAAGACAACACTGAATGATGCACACTGTGTAACAACTCCTGCCATCTATTACCCTAATCTGAATAATTCTAAACACCCCAAATAATACAACTATAGCTCCTCTTAAGATTGCAATCCTTTTAAGATATAAAATCCCTCTCAAATCTTAAACATTATCTTTTTTACCTACTTCTAGCATGATCTTTACCCCTGCATGCATTTACATGGCTACATACACTCACTACGCTCACAGATGTAGGGGGCAGGGGGCACCTTGGAATTCTGGTTGTGCTAGCACCTAAAATGTAAAGTTGATCCTATTCATGGCTTCATACATATTAAGTATGTTAGAATGTTCTTAAGTATGTTCTTAAGTACCTTACAGCATGTTCTTCCAGAGGTACTTGTAGAAGAAGAACATGCTGGCAGGTAGGCTAGAAATAACAGGGGGTAAAAAAAATCACATTCACCAT